AATAGAGTAAAAAAAAATTTATTAAATAAAGTCCGTGTAAAAGGTGTTGAACCCGTCACTACCAACACAGCAGTCGAACACGCCCCCATTCGGCTACAGCAGCTGTTGAAATAAGGTGAAAAAAACATACTTGAGTTAGTTCTTTTGGTTTTGTTTGTGGCTTCGAAACTGCACATCATCCGCTCGCTTACATTACGAGCAGGGCTGCCAACTGTACTTAGTTACGAAGTGCCATATTGAATATAAAAAAAGTGCCAAAATGTGCCAAATAGAAAAATAAAAGGGTCAAAAAAGGTGTAACTCTTTTTAATTCTTCCCATTTAGCATCAAAATTAGAAACACTTTCCTAAAACAAAAGTCTAATGCCAAAGTAAGATAAACCAGTTGTATACACTATAGAAATTAGAAAAATTTAGTAGAGAAAAAGAAGTACACGCAAAGGATTTCACAAAATGTATTGAAATATTTCAAAAGTGCCATTTTGGCGTTTTGTGTCAAATTTAAAAATTAAGTGCCATGTGAAGTAAAATAGGGCCAAAAATGGCACGGTTTGAGCCAAGTTGGCAGCCCTGATTATGAGGCAAAGTTCAACCGTAGTTGTTAAATAAAAAATAAATCCGTGTAACAGGTTTTGAACCCGTAACATACACATAATCCGCTCGCTTATATTGCTATGCACCTTTTCATTCAACCGTAGTTTTTAACCTTTTCTTGGTAGAAAAAGGTAATGCATTCCAATTTTGTCTCTGGGTATACTTTGTAATATATTATACATAAATAAATATCTAAATGTATGCAAGGCGAATTTATACAAGTATTATGTTTTTGCTTTCGGCACACAAATGCCAAATTTTAGCTATTCTTCGCTCAAGGAGGAAAAGGGAAATAAAATGCAAACACTCAAACTTTCTCACTCACTTAAAAGAAGTTTCGACATATGTGTACCAAGGCGAATCAGGCAACAATATCATCAGCTGTTTACTTCAGAACAAAATAAAATGTGCCGAGCTGAACGGTGAAGCGTACTTCGGCCCCCTCTCCGGCAAAAATGTTTTGATAGCAAATAAAAAGATGTCCGGACACGAACGGTGAACCCGCCTTAAAGGCGCTAGCAGTCACCGACGTAAGCGTACGTTCACGTGTCAGCTGACACCATCAAACTTATGAGGGCGCCATGTAAATGAAAACTCACCATGGCTATTTATTTCGCCAACTTTCAACTTCAAAGCTGCATTATTCAGTTCATTTATGCCAGAAAAATTGAATTAGGACAAGTGTGTATTGGTAGAAGGAGCAAAACTTAAATGCAAAATTAAAAAAAAAATAAAAATTAAATTAAATGTCAATTAAATTGCAATTAAAAAATTTCGTGAAATCGGCTGTAAGTGTACCAATTCTATTAAGAAAAACGTGGGACGTAAATAATTTTCGTTTCATCCCAGAGACGACAAAAATAAAAATTCTTATAACTCTTATGAGAAGACGTAAATCATTTTCGTCTTGAAATAAACGTCCCGAGAAACGAAAAAAAATAAAAATTCCATATAATTATTATGAGAAGACGTAACGCATATCCGTCTTGAAATAACCGTCACAAGAGACGAAAAAAAATAATGGGCTGTTTTTGCTTACGCGTGAAAGTACATTTAGCGCATATAGCTCTAAATGCTACTCTAAATGTACATTTATCCATACAAAATTCGTCACCTAAATGCATCTAAATGCAACACCATTTCTGCATTACGAGTCTAAATGCTAAAAGCAACCCTGTGATCTTCAAAAATTTCCACGATTTGAACATGGTTTAATGAGAAAAAGTGTCAACATTGCTTTTTCGCGTATACAGTTGCTAGCTGCGTTTTAGTGATCGCCAATCGAGATTTCATTTATTATTTTACATTATTTGGAAAAGAAAAGTTGCGCAAATTCAACATCGATGTGATACTGATATAAATTTAAAAAAATTAAAAATTA